TATCAGAATAGTGTACAATATTTCCCTCCTAACTGATTCATAGGCTTTCTTGAAGTCTGTGAATAGCTGATGTACTGTCTCATCGTACTCCCATTTTATCTCCAATATCTGACAAATGCAAAAGATCTGATCTGTTACGCTGAAACCCACACTGATGATCCCCAATAATTTCATCTATATATGGACTTAACCTTGAGAGAAGAATACTGGACAAAAGTTTGTATGAAGTTGATAGCAGCAATATCCCCGATAATTACTACAGTCAGTTTTATCACCCTTCTTGTGAACTGGTACAATAATAGACTCCTTTCACTGATCAGGCAATTTTTCCTTATGCCAAATAGAAGTAATTAGAATGTGGATCTTAGAACGTAATATTTCTCCTCCTGCTTGAGTAAGTTCTGCCAGAATTTGATCACTACCTGGCAATTTATACCATTTCAATTTTGCAATAGCACTTCCAACCTCAAAAGGGCTGCCATTGCTTAGACTGCTATATTTCGATCAAAGGCTACAAACTTGTTAATATGACTGATGTTCAAATTAATCATTTTTTCTCAGCACATTTCATTCACAAACAAATTAGTTTTACATGTAAGGAGCTTGGTTCAACGGACTCGGCTGTCATTACAATGTACTGTTGTCCATTATGAAAGTACCTAAAGCAGAGAAAATATTCATGTTGCTGCTGGTAATTGGAATTATGTCTGTAATTTCATTTACCTGAGAAGCTTTTGTCATAAGTGCAGAGTGTGCGTCTTGTTTCCCTGAATATCTTCTCTGGCATCCTATCCCTCACCCACATTGGATAATGAACTTTTACTATATAATTCCACCGACTGCCATTTACTGTTAAATGTCCATGATATTATACTTTTTTGTTTAGGAAGAAAAATTGTGAGCAGAGACAAAATGTAATAACAGAACTTGTGCTTACGGAGAAGGAGTACGTGAGGGACCTGAAGATCACATATGAAATATTTAATTTACATAACCCAAGACTTCTTGAGGCAAGAGGTATTGATGTGAAGGTTGTGTTTGGTAATATCTTGGAGGCAAGTAGCTGTGTGTTATACTGTTGCACTGGTGCATGTACATGATCCAGCTAGCCAAATGTGACATTCATTCAGTTTTAATGTCATTATTCCCTGATTAAATATATAGCCCTGATTCCTGTAGAACTGGGAAATTTAAAATGCCTGTTCCCAGACAGCAAAGGTTAAAAGCATCATAATGGAGAGCAGGAAGAATGTGTGATAGCCAGCTGAACTTGAAAACTCCATATTGGTAGAAGTATGCGAGAAAAGAAGCAGTTTTGCAATGAGAATGCGGAGTGGAATCACAATTTAATAGTGTGGATGTGTTTATATACGTTTATGAAGACATATCATAAATTTTGCTCTTGTGTGCTGAAAAATGTTTTTTTCTTTACTTAATATGTTTTAGCAGTTTCAAGATTCATAGATATTGTCATATGTTGGGTATGTGACACGTGACAAATAACTTCACGCCATCTTGGATATAGCAAATTTATTCCACATTCGCTCTTACATTTACACAACTAACAGTTTCACAGTTGCTGCCATCTGCAGTGTCACAATTGCCTCTCCTGCTGGAGTCACTACCATGCACTCGATACAACTCGACTCGCAACTCAATACTCACTACTCTAGTAATTCTGGTTACACTGACAAATACTCCTTGTTATGTAGCTCCCGCAATGACAACACAGAAACAGTTTGTGATAGCTACCACTGTTGCGTGATGTCATGTTTACTGATTGCCAAGCAACAGTCTCTGCATGGAGTCGCCATTTGCAACGTAGTAACCGCGGTGTCCCCTGTTACGGCACTGTGGGAAGTGCTGTTACGTCATCGCAAGGGAGGGGGCTGTCCTGCATAGTGCAAATACGTCACACTGCTCCCTCCTTAAGGCTATTCATCCTGAATAGCCTAACGGTGCATCCCTGTTCCTTTTCTTCCAAGTGTGTGCTTGCTGCATCTCCTATTGTTTCGGCTACTTCTCTTGCAGCGACTATTCTCTGGCCGTTACATCCTCCGCTCCCTTCGTAGGATTGTTTGTCCCGAACAATTCCGTGGTCCAACGTTCATCGATCCGTTGTTTCACATTCACTCATTGCTTTCATTCTCCATTCATGCTGGGGAGGCCAGTGTTTCTACATTACTGGTTCCTCCTCTGCTTGCAGTCTCCCCCCCCCCTTTTTTTCCGTTTTGGAGTTGGCCTACCCCTCCACAAGTTCCACTTCCTCATTTTCGGAAACCCACTGGAAGTTCAAACTACATGTTCCATGATCTTCTCACTGAAAATCTCATATATGTTCATTTCCATATTCTTCCAATTACTTGATGTGTTCACTTTCCTTGGCTCCACCCCTCGATGCCGTTTGTGGTTGGGTCCTTCATCTGTTTGCTGCCTTTTAGCCACTGTTTCAGACCTCTGTCCCTCATGCCATTGTTACATTCAGGGTACTTGCAACGTCTATTCTCCTCTGTCCTTTTTGGGGTTTCTTGTTCAACATTTTCTTCATTTTGTCCCATACGCCTATGTCCTGCACAGCGTGTAATATTTATTCCGGCTGCGGTCACTTGTTTCCGCGGTCCACAATTTCTTTGGGTCGAAATTTCCTTGAAGATGTTCCTCTTGCACCATGCCCCTGTTGCATGGCGGGACACCTTCCTGCAGGTGGCAACCAACTTCATCCAGGATCCACAATCTCCTCAGGTCAGTTCCTTTGGCTCTCCACGTCACCCTGCAACTTGCTTTCTGCCCCTATGCCTCCTCTTCTGTCCTTTGACCAGTTTCACTATGACATCTTCTACGGGATTCTCTTCTTCTTCTGCTGTCTGAGGTTTCCTGTCCACTGAGGTCAGCTTTTCTTTTTCTAGACATATGTCCATCTTTTGGCAGGCCATCGTCTCTTCTTCTTCGTTAGGAATCTTCTGTCGCTTCACTACATCCTCTTTTTCTCTTGGATTTGCCTCCATTGCATCTTGGCTGACTGTCGTGTCTTTCTGCCAGGCATTCATATTGGCTTTCAACCTCTTGTCTTGCATGGCAGCTGTCCTTGCTTCGATGGCTCTCATTTCTGCTCGGAGGCTTCTCTTTCTGTGGCCATCTCTTCTCGCCAGGCTGTTGAGACGGTGTTCATTCTTCCCAGGAAATCTTGGGCGGGCAGCAGGCGTTCCATCATTTCTTCCATTTTCATCATGTGGCTGTATAATTCGTTGTAACTTGTGGCGTGTTGAATTTCGTAGACACTTCTGACACCAAATTGTCACATGTTGGGTATGTGACACGCGACAAATAACTTCACGCCGTCTTTGATCTAGCAAATTTATTGCACATTTGCTCTTACACTTACACAATTTACAGTTTCCCAACTATTTCTCCTGCTGGAGTCACTGCCATTCACTCGATACAACTCAACTTGTAACTGCTGGACTTCAACTCATACTCAATACTGCTCGTAACTGCTCTTACTCAGTACTCTAGTAACTTGCTCTCTAGTAGCTCTGGTTACACTGACAAATACTCCTTGTTATGTAGCTTCTGCACTGACAACACAGGAAACAGTTACGTGATAGCTACCACTGTTGCGTGATGTCATGTTTACTGATTGCCAAGCAACAGTCTCTGCATGGAGTTGCCTGTTGCCACATAGTGACTGCGGTGACCCCTGTTACGTCACTGTGGGAAATGCTGTTGTGTGACCGCGGGGGAAGGGGGCGTCCTGCATAGTGCAAATACATCACACTATTTTTAATTCTTAGTGACATGACAGGATTCTAGTCCCAGCAGGGCAAGTTTTATAAATAAGATATTTCGTCCTGCCCAGTAACATTGGTATGTTGGGATTTTGAAATTCCTGGTCCTTCTGAATTTGTATTGTTTAGCTCATTTAGGTAGTTTCAGATTTTTTGACATGTTTTCTGTCTTCCTTATGGATCTGTTTTGTACAGGTACTGCAAGTGGCAGAGACTCTGTTGGATAAGTTACAGCTTGCTATGAAAGGGAAATCTGAAGATGAACAGTGTGTGGGTTCATGTTTTGTTGAGCTGGCTGACCAAATGAAATCTGTTTATGGACAATACTGTATGAACCACAATAATGCACTTACATTGCTTGAAAAGGTAATTGGTGAACATTGTATAATTTTTCATAGTCGGCATTGAGCATGTTAGTTTAATTGTAACTCAGTGACTTCTCTTCAGGAGATACCCACTTCAGATATCAGCTGAGGGACTGACTGTCCTAACTGAAGTGTTTTCTATTCTTTCTCCTTACAGGAAACTGTGGGGATTTTGTCGTTGTGTAGGAGGCCATGGCTTCATCCTTCCGAACACCTCATTCGCAATCATCTTCATATGTAATCTTATATAATCACTACAGTCAATATACCATCATTAAGATAACCTGCAAATGAATTTTAACAACGTATACATGTAATTTAATTACTCACTCCTTGATTATCTACTTACAATTTATAATACAAGTTTGACCGCCATGGCCGCTGCAGCCGCAAAATGGTAGGTCCCAGGCCTCAGCCTGGAGACTGTCTGTCTTGACTGAGGTGATTTGTGGTTCTCCATGTTCTCTCCAAGCAAATTCTTGCATAACACCTCAGATTAGACTATGATACTACCATGCACATTGCTTTTAACTCATTATTCATCCAACCATTTGATACTATATAGTGTGAGCTATTCACGCCATCTTTACATAAAGCATAAACTTAACTCACTACGTGGAGCTGGGCCCTTCTTGAGAAGCCACAAACTGTTCAGCTACTCAAGAACTTCCTGGCATTTTATGGAATCTGAAGGTTCATTACAGTGTTCACAAGAGCCCTCCACTGGTCCCTATCCTGAGCCAGATCAAGCCAATCCATACCATCCAATTTTATCTAAGATCCTTTTTTATATTGTCCACCCACCTACGTCTTGGTCTTCCCAGTGGTCTCCTTCCTTCCAGCTTCCCACCAATATCCTATATGCATTCCTCCTCTCCCCCAATTGTGCTACATGCCCGTCCCATCTCATCCTCCTTGACTTGATCTTTTTAATTATACTTGGAGAAGAGTACAAGTTATGAAACTCCTTATTATGCAGTTTTCTCCAACCTTCTGTAACTTCATCTTTCTTCAGTCCAAATATTGTCCTTGGCACCCTGTTCTCAAACACCCTCAATCTGTGTCCCCCTGTTAAGGTCAGAGACCAGGTTTCACATCCATACAGAACCACAGGCAAAATTATACAAAAGGTTCTGAACTGAATGGTAGCAGGCATTACCCGAGTTCAATCTACTCTTAATTTCCTCCTGAATAAGGTTTTGATTTGTTATAGTCGTTTCCAAATTTGTGAACTGTGCCACACTTTCAAAACATCTGTTACGTATCTTTGTGTCATGATTTTACCCTGCATTTTGGTGACAAGACAGCAACATTTACTTAGTTTTCTTTGTGTTTACTTCTAGACCAACAACCTTAATAGCATCAGTTAAAGTTTGCATGTTTTTCTTTCATTCATTCATCAGTAATCTGTCAGATGACAGGTCCACAGCCTCTTCCAAAACAGTTTCTCCACTTAATGCGATCTTCTGTTTTTGGAAAGAGACTATCCAGGAAAAGTGATAATGTGGTAGTTTTTCCATTTGCTTTCCACATCGCAGTACAACAGCCGTTCAAACCACTCTGGTCACGCCTGTTGCTATACGAACTTGAACCATCTCGAGCATCATTTTCTCTGTGCTTCCAGTCACCGCTGATGACACTGCTTCCGGCATCAGTTTTCTTTATGGTATCTACATTATCACCCAGTGGATTCACATCATCGGCATAGGCCAACAGCTGATGTGTCCTGTTTAGTTTCAGTCCCACCTGGTTTCCCTGGACCTTCCTAATAGCATATTCTAAGGCAAAGTTGAAAAGGAGTGGTGATAAAGCATCTCCTTGTTTTAGACTATTCTGGATAGGAAATTTATCAGACAAATGTTTACCTACACGGACTTTACTATACATTTCGTTTAAACGCATTCTAATCAATCTAACAAGTTTCATGGGTATCCCAAACTCTATCAGAATATTGCACAGTATTTCCATCCTAAATGAATCATAGGCTTTCTTGAAGTTATGAATAGCTGATGTACTGTCACATCGTACTCCCATATTTTTCTCCAGTATCTGATGAATGCAAAAGATCTGATCTGTATTTGATCTGTTATGTCACCCTTCTTGTGAACTGGTACAATAATAGAATCCTTCCACTGATCAGGCAATTTTTCTCATTGCAAATAAAATTTTCTTATGGATCTTAGAACATAATATTTCACCTCCAGATTGAATCAGTTTTGCCAGAATTTGATCACTACCTGGCGATTTATACCGTTTCAATTTTGCAATAGCACTTTCAACCTCAAAAGGGCTGGGATCAGGTACTAACATCTCAGCTGATTTCTGTCTGTCCAACACCACTGACCCTATATACAACTATTCTATTATATTATTATTATTATTATATTATTCTATATTCTATATATTCTATATTCTTTTATATTCTATACTATAGTATATTGTACATTCAATAACAGAGAAGTAGTTCTTCCACCTATTGAAAATGTTGTGGGAATATGCAAGAAGATCACCATTCTTATCCTTCACTAAGTTACTGCTAGGTTGGTAACCCCTCTTGAAATCTTTTATTCCTCTATACAGGTCTTTAATGTTCTTATTCTTACTGTTCATTGCAAGCTCATCAATTTTGTCTTTCAGATATTCCCTCTTTTTATTCCTGAAATGCCTGCTGGTTACACATCTTATATTGTTCAGATTATCCCCATTTATTTCTCTTGGATGCTGTAAGCACTGCAATTTGGCTTGTTTCCTTTGGTCTAATAATTTTTAGCATCCTTCATCGAATTTGGCTTATGCTTCTGCAGTTCATAATGACTTAGACTCTCTTTGGCAGAAATTTTGATATTCTAATAGTTTCCCAGGCCTCAGTGTCTTAAGTTTTCCAAAGCTGCAGACCTATTCGAGATTTCACATACATACCAGGGTTGGATAAAAAGTAGTGGCAACACTGTGGTAACATGAAAGATGTGCGTCAGGTGGCACTAGCGCCGTCTATAGCTGATAGCAGTAGTTCAGTTGAAGTAGTGCAGTGAATGGCTCTGGTTGTGTTTCATTGAGTTGCATTGGGCATCGTCTTGAAGTGCAGCAAGCATCCTAACAACATGTTTACGAAACAAGAACAACACTCCTGGATAAAAATCGAAGTTGTATGAGGTCGCAGTGCACAAAACTGTTATCAGGGACTGCGAGAAGCATGTGGTGATGCTGCTTTCCATATCGCACAGTGGCACGGTGGGTGAAATTGTTCCGTGAAGGGAGGGATGCCATTCAGGATGACCCCATGTTGACAACCACACAATTCAGTCTCTTGCTTCTTTGCTGGATGTTGATTGTTGATTGGCTGCGTGGGGGTTTGCTGCTGAGGTAGGCATATGTTACAAAACTGTGCTCCACATTCTGCACGATATTCTTGGATACCGCAAAATTGCAGCACGTTGGGTACCCCATACAATGTCCAAGGTGCAACAATGGCAACATTATGCAATTGCACAGGACTTGTTGGACCAGTACGAGAGGGAAAGTGATGACTTCCTTGGAAGGATCGTCACTCTGAACGAAACTTAGGCTCACTCATACAAACCGCACTTGAAGTGACAATCAAATGAATTGAAGCATCCTGGCTCTCGTTGTTGAAAGGAAGTGTGCCGTACACAGAGTAATGTGAAGGCGATGTTCGTTGTGGATTATGGCATTGATGGAGTGGTACTGCACCACACTGTTCCTCAATGAGAGACAGTAAACGCTGCCTACTACTGCATTTTCCTGCATAATCATCTTCGTCCAGCACTCAGGAGAAAGTGATGACACTTCTTGGCACCGAACCCCATCATCCTTCATGACAGTGCGAGGGCTCGTACTGCTGATGCTGTCAAGGATCTCCTTTGCCGCTAGCGATAGGAGATACTGCAACTTCTATATGTATAATATAAACTCCGTTGTAAATGTAACACTTTATTGTAGTTCTTGTCCCCCCCCTTTACAATACATGTTTCGGCTACAACCAGCCATCATCAGGTGTATTTCACTTCACGTAGCTGTCACACTGCACTTAATATTAACATTTAAGCTCCAGATTTACAATTGTTCATTGCTGTGTTGTCAATCGGCACCCGATATTCCAGAACACCCCTTGTCGATTTTGTCAATTATGTTTAAAATCTATTAATATTTCCACGTCAGTTGGTACTGCTGATGCTATCAAGGATCTCCTTTGCTGCTAGCGATACGAGATACTGCAACTTCTATATCTATAATATAAACTCCGTTGTAAATGTAACACTTTATTGTAGTTCTTGTCCCCCCCCTTTACAATACATGTTTCGGCTACAACCAGCCATCATCAGGTGTATTTCACTTCACGTAGCTGTCACACTGCACTTAATATTAACATTTAACCTCCAGATTTACAATTGTTCATTGCTGTGTTGTCAATCGGCACCCGATATTCCAGAACACCCCTTGTCGATTTTGTCAATTATATTTAAAATCTTTATTAATATTTCCACGTCAGTTGGTTTAAAATTTACGTTCTCAATTTAGCTTTAATATTTAAAATTTAAATTTAGATTTAAAATCAAAATCACAGAGATACCTGCTCTATGCGTATATATGCTGCAGCTGCTACCTCTTTCTTTCAGCACAACTCGCGTGTTATCTGTAATACACAAATTTTCACTCTAAGTCCATGCAGCTCCAATTTGACAAGCAGTAATTTATGATTTATTACATCAAAGGCCTTAGTTAAATCTAAACATATGCCCATAACTAGCAGCTTATCTAATGCTTTCTGGATATCCTCTATGAAGTTTTGTGTTGCTGTATTGGTAGATTTCTTCTCTCTGAAGCCATTTGAACCTCAGATATCATGTTATAGTCTTCATCAAATTTGGAAAGGTTCCAGAACATAATGAAATATTAAACATAAAGGTTAATGGTTTCTTGATATACTGAATACTTTCTTCTACTAACCCTTCAGGTATTTTGTCCCAGCCAGCTGAAAATTTACCTTTTAGTTTCTTGGTTACATTTAAAACCTTTTCTCCAGTAATTGGAGCAAGAAACATGTAATTAGAGATTAATATTTCATTATTAACAGTGTCATGACCAAATGTACAACCCTTATTTTGATTTAACATCTTATCCACATTTTCTATGAAAAAAGTATTAAATTGATGAGATATTACTCTGTCCAAAAAGTATCCGACCTTGGGCCGGGGAAAAAAAGTTCTGTATCTGGGTGGTTACAATACCTAATCCCCTTCAAAGTAGGCCCCTTGTGACTCCACACATTTAGCCTAGTGGTCCTTCCATCGCTGGAAGCAATTCTGGAAGGCTTCTTTTGGAATTGCATGCAGTGGCGCCATCGTGTTCTGTATGATGTCCTCGCGGCTGTCAAAATGGCAGCCTTTTAGCAGTGTCTTCAATCTTGGGAACAGCCAGAAATCACAAGGAGCCATGTCAGGAGAGTAGGGAGCCTGGCGAACCTGCAGAATGCCTTGCTTGGCCAGGAAACTGTGGATCAGGTACGATGAATGAGCTGGGGTGTTGTCATGATGCAGCTGCCAGTTGCGTGTGTCCCACAGCTCTGGTCTCTTGCACTGAACTGCATCACGAAGATGGCGGAGGACTTCTTGGTAGTACTCCTTATTGACAGTCTGGCCTAGTGGTGCGTACTCATGATGCACAACACCCCGGTAATCGAAAAAACACTCAGTATCACCTTCACATTGTTCCGAACCTGTTGTGCTCTTTTGGGCCTTGGGTATGTTGGGTACTTCCATTGTGACGTCTGGACCTTGGTTTCCGGGTCATATCCGTACACCCACGACTCATTACCAGTGATCACAGTCTTCAGGAACCCAGGATTCCTGTTGGCGCACTCCAGCATGGCCTGCGCGACCTCAAGATGGAGTTGTTGCTGCTCCTGCGAAAGCAGCTTGGGCACAAATTTTGCCGCCACTCTTCGCATGCCCAAATCCTCAGTTAAAGTTGTGTTTGTGGAACTTCTGCTGATCCCAACCTCATCAGCAACTTCACAGATGGCCAAATGACAGTCCTCCATGATCAGTGTCCGTACTTCTTCAATGACATCAGCATTTCAGCTTGTTGACTGTCTCCCAGAATGCTGCTCACTGTCCGCCGACATACGGCCATGTTTAAAGCCGTTGAATCACTGTTTAATTTGAGTGACCCCCATTGCATCATCGCCGAAAGCCTGCTGAATTTTGCGAATTGTTTCCACTTGGGTATCCCCAAGTTTCTGACAAAATTTAATGCAGTATCGCTGCTCCAAGCGTTCTGTCATCTTGAGTGAAACGAGAATGCGATGAACACGTGTTACACCACTTCGATATCTGGCAGCCACAGATGCATCTGGCAGTGTTGCGAGTCAGCAAAAATCACGCATGCGCATGAAAGTCCCTTCTACCTCTACGCTCAGTTTCCCCACCCCTTTGGCCATTACTCACAGCAGCAAAAAATAAAGTCAGATACTTTTTGGACATACGGTATATCCTGTGGGTTTGAAACTAACATGGAGCCTATTTGTAAAGAAGTGTTTTGATTTGTTTTTTGATAATTCCCTGATTCATTTTTTATTATTTGCCGTAGTGCCTTGGTATGGTTTGCTAATCTTGCAATAAGTCTGTCATTTTCTCTTTTTCGTGCTTCAGATATCACTTTCTTATAAGTAATTTGATATTTCTTTAGATAGTTCAGTGTTTTACTGTACGTATATACCTTTTTCTTTAACAAACATAACAATCACAGCCTCTCTTCCAGTACTTTTATCCCTTTTGTTAACCTTCCTGATCTGATACCTTTATTTTGAAATAATTTTTTAAGGGAAAAATATTTATGAAATACTTGTGATAATTTGTTAAAAATGAACTGTATGCTCTATTTACATCAGTATGTAAGTAGACATCTTCCCATATTTCATTTTTAAACGATTGTTAAATATTTCTATATTTCTTAGTTAGAGGACTCTTTTTACAGTATCTTAGTATTGTGTATGGCTTACATAAACCGCAGGCCGTGCCATAGCTCAAGCAGTTAGTTGCTGGCTTCCCACCGCGGTGGCCCAGGTTTGATCGTGGGTCTGGGCAAGTGGGATTTGTGGTGGAAAAAGTGGCGCTGGGGCGGGTTTTCTCTGAGTACTTTGGTTTCCCCTACCAATCTTCATTCCACCAAATTCTCCATCATCTTAATCACCCGGGGCAGGCTACAATAGGTCAATCAGTGGCCGCCATGCTGAGTGGACCCAGTTGGACTCCACCTCCCACTAAGCAAATTTAAAAAGAAAAATTTACATAAACCATAAATAAGTTAATAAAAGAAATACATTCTGACAACCATCTTAGCTGTGACATATTTTACAAGAAGAAATGTTAAATTGTGCGCCATGTTTGAAATGACAGATAGTGATATTTTATAACAGAAAAGTTTCGGTGGAAATTTCCAGTAATGAGTTTCTGTGAGTTAATTGTTTAACTGTAGGAGAATACACTTACTGTTAACAGTTTTGTGTATAGTGTAAAATATTCCTCAGTTAGGCTATTTTATATTACCATTTTTATTTTGTGCCATATTTCCTTTGTGAATCCCAAATATAAATTTATACAAATCATATACCATTGCAGTATTTATTAAGTAATTAATATATAATTTTTTCTTTACAGTATGAGTCAGTTGAAGAAATACAGATTTTATTCAATAAAGGAATTGAGACTCTGCGTTTACAAGTTGCTTGCTTTGATATGGGTTCTATTCTTATCAAACCAGTACAAAGAATACTTAAGTATCCACTCATTCTGAATGAATTAATAAAGGTGAGAATAAAGATTCTGATAATTCAGTATTATTGGAAATATAAGGCTTATGTACTGAACTTTTATATCTCTTATTAAGAATGTATCATAAAACCTCTACACTTTTTCATGTAAGAGTGTTCTAAAGGGATTTTTAAAAATATGTGTTCAGTTTTTTAATTCAGTTCATTTATGCTTTTGTGGCTACTGTATACACATGTGCAGCAATCCGTGATGAGTTAGAGAGTCATTGAATTTGTTTTTAATATTCTCTCCCGATCCATTTATATGTTTCTCCCCAAATGGCACACAGTAAATTTTAACAATCAATGATTATATGTGTACATGTTGCATAATATGATGGCTATTTGGAAAGTAACAACTGTTTATTTAGGCTCATGCATGTGAGGTAGCATCACATGACTTATTGCCTTGTAAACCATCACATAAATGGTCACCTAGTGTTTGTTCTTGTCTCCTACAGAATGAGTTATGAAGTGTCCTGCGATTGATAATCCCGCCAGCTGCCAAATTCACATTGGTTTCTACTTTCGTCACTTTAAAGAACATGAGTGCTTTGGAAATCCATTGTTTATTATGCGCGGCAGTTTACAGCCAAAATGTAATGAGTGAAGGACATGTAAGACAGTGGTGTAGAATATTCAAAGATGGATGAACAGATTTTCACAGAAATGTTTACCAAAGAATTTGTGAAAGATGGTGCTGCATAATTTTAAAATTTAGTGTGAATTGCCAAAAATATCACAGACACTTCTATATTAGATTATCACAGGCTAGGTTATCACAAGTTCTGTGCAACATGGGTTTGAAAATGCTCATGGGTGAGCACAAAATGTAGAGCATGGCTTCGGCTTTGACTTTTTTTTAGAGCAGTGCCACACAAATGGCGATGAATTTCTCAATCACATCATACAAGTCACAGGTGATGAAACCTGTGTTTCATTTATGAATGTTGAAACCAAAGAGCAGTTGAAGCATCAGATGCACACACATTCACAAAACAAGCTGAAAAGTTTGAACAAATGTCTGCCAGCAGCTGATAACAACTGTTTTTTTGGAACAGGAAAGGAAACCTGATGGTGGAATTCATGAAACAAGGTACCAAAATAATATCAAAAATTTATTGCAAAACTCCCAAAAAAAAAAAATGTGTAAGGTAATTTAGAGCAAAAGTTATGGAATGCTGACATCCAGTATACCCAGTGCTCCTTCATGACAGTGTATGTCCGCATACAGCTGCTTGCACTTGAGCACTGCAACTGGCAGCTGTTTACTTACCTGAAGAACTGGCTGAGGTCACAGTGCTTCAACAGTGATGAGGAGTTGATAGAAGAACTGGCTTAGGTCACAGTGCTTCAACAGTGATGTGTTAATGGAAGGTGCCAGAATGTGGCTAAGCTCACAGGCAGCAGACTTTTTTGACACAGGCATACAAAAAATTCTTCCCCAATATGACAAGCGCCTCAATTCTGGCGATGATTATGTTGAGAAGCAGCTGAAGTACGTACATTTTTTTTTAATATAATGCTCATTGCGTGTTGTGTTAACAGTTCACCAGAGGATACTTCCCAAATAGCCCTCATTTGTGTCTTGTGCATAGTGTTCTGGTAAGTAGTCTGTTTCAGAGCAGTTATGATGGCAAGGGTAACTGCGGTGTCTCTCATGAAGAAATGTCTCACAGTAGAATTTTTCTCTGAGTAATGAACTTAGCCAGCATTCATTGACACGTGTGTGTGTGTTGTAAAGTTATGTGAACCATTTGTAAATTTTGTAAGAAGTGTTCCATGCCACTAATGGTGCTTATGTAAACTGTGTAATTGGTTGTGCAGGAAACTGGCTAGAATTTATTATGCAATCATCTGATTAAAATGCATTTATTGTTACCAAGACCTTCAGGTTACATGCAGCTATATGAGTGTTTTGATGTGATAGCTACTTGTAATAAATAAGTAATTTTTTATGCATTCATTCTTGAACACTTCATTGCATGTCTTAACAAAAAGAAATATGTGTGTACTTAATATTTCTAGGCACAGATAGGAAGATATTAAATTGATCTAAAAAACAGGATGGGAGGGCATTATTTGGCTCAGAATTGATGTATCAGTGTTAGCAACTTGGTTGTGCATTCAGATAGACGTCTGCCTTCTGGCATGAAAGAACAAGAATGAAGAATGACTTAGTGCCCTGTTAGACAAAGAACCGGATATAGATTCTGATGGTGACGTGGGATTGGAGAATGAGAGAGAAACTGCGAGTGAAGAATTGTGCAATGAAATGTCTGAAAGTGAGAGTGAGAGAGGAACAAGTGTTGTGCTTGTTGATGGGTGGGAAGAAGCGACAGTGGGCTACAAGAAACCCAGACATACACATTTACTAAAAATGCAGGGCCACAATTTAACCTTCTGCAGATGCAAGAGCCCATGGATTATTTAACTTATTTTCAGTAAATTGTTTTTGAATAACATTGTTATAGAGACAAACAGATATGTGAGACACAAATTTTTGGAACTTCACCTAAGCCTGAGTTCCATTTGGAGTATGTGGTCTGATGTGTCTGTTCATGAAATGAAGGTGGTTTTAGGTCTAACCATAAATATGTGCCTATTGCCATTACCTGACATGAAAGCCTATTGGTCTAGTGAGTGGGCAACACAGATATCATTTTTTGGTGATGTAATGTCTCTAGTTCGCTTTTTGCAGATATTTCAGATGATTCATGTGGAAAATGATACCACCGAAGAAAGCAGTCGGGCCATCAAAAAAAAAAAAAAAAAAAAAAAAAAAAAAAAACAAGGAAAGTACATGGGGTGATAGAACATATAGAGGAACGGTTTCAGAAATATTTTGTGTCAGGTAAAAACATTGCAATAGATGAATCAGCAGTTGGGTTCAAGTACAAAATAATTTTCAAAGCTTATAATCCGAAAAAACTTATGAAGTGGGGCATCAGATTATTTGTATTAGGTAACATTGACACTGGTTATGTTCATAGTATGATTCCATATTACGGAAAACTTACAGGTGAAATGTGTAACTTGCCATACTCAGGAAAACCGATCTCTTCAGGAACAGTTCTTTCCTTGATGGACAGACTAGAACTCAGTGTGTGTGGTGTTGAAGGCCACACCTTTTCACTTACAGATGTTATAGTAGTGTTCAGTTGACCCAAGAGTTGGACAATTGAAAATGCCACACCACAGGCCCTAGTATTGCTGGTAGAGTTTGCAGTCCAAAACCCCTCAGGAATGGGGTCAGGAAGAAAGCGAAGAGGGGGACACTTTTACCTACAGAAGAGGGAGTGTCCTGCTAATGGGCTGGAAAGACAAGGGTGGTTCTCATGATGTCTGCATATCATGATACATCGATGAAAAATATGGTGACCATTCAGAAAAGGGGGCAGCAGAAAGAAATTCAAAAGCCAATGTGCATACTCAACTATACAAAACGTGGGTGGTGTAGAACGCAGTGATCATTACTGAGTGCAATATGCTTTCATTTGTAAATCTCTGAAGTGGTGGAGAAAACTCTTTTTCTGGTGCCTGGAAGTGTGCATTGTAAATTCATACATTTTGTACAGCAGCCATAAGCCACACATGGGAGTGAAACAAATGTCACATGTCAAGTATCCACAAGCTCTTGTTGAAAATCTAGTAGGCAATATGCGCAACCCAACAAAGAGGTCACATCTGAGGTCAGCTGTGAGAGAAGAGAGACTAATACAACGCCTCACTTCCTCTACCACTATGATGAAAGGAAACACAAAAACTGCATTGTGTGCAGCAATCAGAAGGTCAAGGGAGCCAGAAAAGAAACATATTTCTATTGTAAGACCTGTAGAAATCAACAGGCCATGTGTCATGGGGAATGTTTCAAAAGATATCACACTCTCAAGATATTACAGAAATTTTAGTGTAGGTTTATTGAGTTTTTGTTGTTTGTGTACACAGAAGTGTAAATGATGAGGAAAAGAATATGTGTATATTATATACTAGAGAACAGCAGACAATTTGAGCCAGTTAAACACTACATCCTCTCTCCACACTTGATGTCATACACCACCACAAGGCAGAGAATTTGTCTTCTTGCACTGTGCTGGTAAGTGCACATATTGCCTTTTCACTTTATGCCCTTGTTGCATGAACTTTTTGATCAAAACAGCTCGCTTAGTGGTTCTGTGGGCATTTAAAATCCCCTGACAACCTGGCTGCAGAAATTTTTCCACACGCGACAACCAGAAAGGTTTAAGAACAGATGTTACCAAGCAAGTTGGTGTAGAGATAATGATCTAGACTTGTGTTCCAGAAGTATGTGATTCCAATCTGAACCAGGTTACTAGCTTTTCTGAGTAAGGTTTTTCAAGCTTTTCATCAGCCTGTCCAAGCAAATGCCAGAAATTTCTTAACATACTGCCTCCAGTGCATTCTGCCAAAAACATCTGTACCCATATGCCAGACCACATGGAGTCATGATCCGGAAGACCATAGTACAAATCTTCACTGCTTTGAAAAGGATAGGTGTCATGTAACCACATGAATATTCAACAAACTTTTCTTATTTCTGATGTTTACTCTGTTCTTTGATATATCAGATGAAAAAAATTGGGACTAGTTTTTTTTTCTCTCGTAAGAATAGCACTGAATATACCAGATTCAAATCTTCTTATGAGATCCAGTGACTTGAGCCTGAATATATCTGATTTAGTGAAAAACAGTTATTTAACAAGACTGGAAATGAATTCAAGATGGCATTCTTTTCAGTTTATTAAGCTTACTTACAGTCTGTTTATGAAATATGATTAATAGTTTATGATATACAGGAAAAGTCCATTTTTTACCTTAAGTAAAGTGGCCTTATTATAGGTCACTATGGCTGGAACTCCCTTTTATTGATGTTTAGTTCTGTATTTATTTTTCTCAAGTCATATCATCTGTTAGTGGCTAAATGGAGTTTCAGGGTACCTAGAAAACTCACCTATGCTCAAATCACAGCTGTGTAAAAGAATTTTCAAAACTGAAGGGAAGGTAACATGTTGAAATGTGATATTATAGGTTCCAGCTACTAAAAAATATTTCATGACCTGTGCATGCTATGGCCGGAAAGTTCCAAGAATGGCTGCGTGGAGTGTTTGTTACACCCCATCTGAGAATTGTCACTGTGTGTTTTAATGTATTCTTTCAACTGTGGAGGGTTTGTGTGTCCTTTGCATTGGTGTTTCTCACAGTATTAAGTTAAATGAAAGAACCTTGTTCTTTCATGACATGTGCATGTGTGATAAATTTTTAGTAGCATATTAATCTTGAACTTCTGGTGTAATTAAAGAAAATGTCCCCAGAAATTACATATTATTAGCAGTTTATGGAGTCAGCAGTGTTAAAGGGGATAATTCTTAAAGTGGCACAGATATTTTTCTGAAGGAAGAGGAAGTGTTCATGATGATTCTTGATTGGGCCATTCAACAACAGTGTAAACTAATGAAAATATTTAAAAATTGCATCAGCTTGTTCGTTCCAATCGGAGAATGACAGTCAGAATGGTAGCAGAAGAACTGAGGATTGATAAAGAGATTGTAAGATTTGAGGTTTTCATGTCGGTGACTATGAAGAGTGCCATCTTCTGGGATGTGACCATGTAAATCTTGTGTGAACCGATGCTCATGCTGGTTCCTCGCTCGCAAATTTTTCTACCCTGAAGATAGAAGCAATACATTTCTCCAAAACGTCAGTTCACACAAGGTCTATATGGCGCCACATCCCAGAAAATGGCATTCTTCAGTAAAGAGATTGTTTATGAAATTTTAATGACCAGCCTTGAAATAAAAAGGAGTTTGTTCTAAGATGGTCCCAAAACAGTTGACTGATGGCCAATGACTGAGGCAGTTTTTGAAGTCAAAATGGATACCTCTGGTGGATCATTCTTGCTGTTCTCCTGATTTGGTTCAGTGTGACTTCTTTGATTCCCACTTATGAAACCTTTACTGAAAGGGACTCATTTTACATCCTTGGTGAAGGTCCAGCAAATATTCTGCATACATTAAAAGTGATGTAAAAAGACAAGTTCAGAAGTGCTGTTAGCAGAAAAGATTTGTGTAAGGGTGTCAAAGGATGACAGCAATTAATTAGTAAGCTGAGGTTTAACTTACTTAAAAAGTCATTCATGGTACAATATTTCCACACCTAACAAGGCTGCAGTTCCCATATTACTTATGGTTTTGTGGGGTTTTTGTCTGTGTTGTTCGTCATTACTCCAATGACAACCCACTTCTTCGGAACAGTTTGTTGGTCCTGAAAAGGACCATGGTTGCTGAGTTGTTTGATCGGTGAGGTAGTGCGGCGCGTGCCGGTAGGGAGAGAGGTTAGTTGCGGTGATTTGACTGGCCACAGCGCGGCCGTTGCTGGAGGTTGCTTGATCGCCGTGTGGCAGGTGAGTTGAAGTTGCGTGGTCGCGCAGCGCGGTCGTAGGAGTGATGAGGCAGTGGCTACGCCAGATGCCCAGTGGGTCGGACAGGGACACGACCACCGGTGAGTCCAGGCGAGATACCCCAGTGCGTCGGGTGTGAGAGCCGGAGGGCCGAAGCAGTTGTGTCTGGCACAGCCTGCCGATGCTTCCGAAGACCAAGCGCTGGTGATGAAGCCTGCTGGCTGATGTTGCTTGAGTGATGCCTGATCGAGGTCTGCTTGTCGACTCATGCTGCCTGTTTCGGGCTGCTCCTTTTTATACACTGCTCGGTGGGCGGAGCAAAACTTGAAATTGGGGAGGAAGAATTTGCAGGGCGCTGATTGGCTAGCCCGCGTAATGACGTAGATGCGGGGCTAGCAGCGAGCGCAGTATAAATGCGAACGTTTGGAGCAATTTGATTGGTTAGCGTGCGTGATGGTGAAAAGTGATGTGAAGAGTGTGCATTGCAGAAAATGCATGATAATGTGGGATGTTCCCACAGTTTGTATGAGATGTTTGTGAACATGTATAATTGTGTATGCAACATGAGTACTAGTTTCTAACGTACATAGTATGTACTATATATGAGAAAGAGTAGTGACTGTGAAAAAGTCAGTCCCAAAATGTAATGGATCAACACATTTTTGGCACCCCTAATTACATGAAAGTGTTTTTTTGAAGTATCGTCATGTATGTATGGGTTCCTTACTAGCACCTGAATGGTTGAATGAATTTTATTCATATTCAACATTTGAGAGTTTACCCATCCCTAGACACTGTCTGGTGAATCTTAAAGCTCCAGCTCTGAAAACAGTGGCCCCTAAGATAGGCCCTAAAATACGAAATGGTAATTTTCTAGAAAATAGCTCTGACAATATTAAACAAGTTTCAGAAATTTATGGAAATCACAATTGTAAATGAAATTACATAATTGTGCCTTCAGAAAAATAGAGGTGCACACACTGGAGCCCAAATGCGAAATGTTAATTTTCTTTAAACAGGCTTTACCGGTCTGGCAGATGTTTGGTATTCAGTAACCAGCAGTGGTATTCTGAACAGCAGTCAGTTTCTTGTCCAAGGTAACATAGTCAAGATTAATTATGAAAAAGTATGTGTAATGTCTTTGCACTGATTTTTGCTTTCAGTGTACTGAAGATTCTCATAAGGACAAACCCGAATTACTAAATGCTGTGAGAACAATGATGGATGTAGCTACTTACATAAATGAGTACAAACGTCGTAAAGACATTGGTAAGCTTAAATTAAATTTCAGAATTTAATGAGTTTACATATTAATATTCTTAAATAAAATGTATATTACCAGTCATGGTAGCTGAGAGGTCTTAAGGCATATACTGTCTTCACTCACTTGGAAGCTGGGGTTGTGGGTTCGAATCCCACACAAGGCATGGATGTTTGGTATGTGTATGTGTTTATTCTGTGTTTGTGTTGTCCTGTATTTAGGTAGAGTCCTTGTGATGAGCTGATCATCCTACTATATGTAAAATGATCATGAAACTGAAAAATCAGAGGCCAGGGCCCAAGGGGGCTGTAGAGCCAGTGAAAAAAATGCATATTATTTAGTAAATATTGGAAGTAGTAGGCGTATAATGTTTAAGTTGTGGGTTAATGTGATGATAATTACTTTTTTTAGTGTCAAAATATTTGGATGATGGAAATGCTAGCATATCCAGTAGAATGTCAAAGATTTCCCTACATTCTGTTGCCAAAAAGTCTGCAAGATTTGGGCTGATGCTCACATCTACACTCTTTGGAGTTGCTGTAAGTTTTACACCATTGTGTAAATTAATGTTGAATCTAAAAATCATGTTAAGGATACTGTAAAAGGTGACCAGTTTTACTTATAGAAGTTTTATTTAGTGAATGCTGTCAGTAGCTCAGATTCTCTAGTGCTTAATGATAGAGTAATTGGTGGATGCTGGATTGGAAAGAGTACTGAATGAAATGATGGCGCATGAAATGAGTTCATTGTCAGATGAGGTGTAATGATCATTGTGAATGTGAGTTAGGAGGATTGGAAAATGAAGTCTCATGTCTGATTGAGATTATTATCTTCGCATGTTATTCCTTATATTAAAATTTAGTATGGAACATTGAAGTTTTTGCAGGATTAAGAAGAATTTTTTATTAATAAAATTATTAATTATATCTCATTGAGTTAAAATATTCACAGAACAGAATTTTATAATATTAAAATACATTGACATGAGTTTGTCTATGGAATTTGGTAGGTCTTAAATATTTTTTTAAAATTTTAAGTCCTATTCTTTTAACAATTTATAGTAACTTTAATCTTCCTTTAATCTTTACAGTATAATTAATTTCCCTACAAGAATTTCTTATAATTCTTGTATTTTAATAGATAATATCTATATTAATAGCTACTTACATGGATTCTCTGTGAATCGTCTTATTAATGGTCTGTCTGACCATGATGCTCAAGTCATTGTTTTCAATAATATTACTGTTCTAGACAATGAACAGATATTTTATCATAAAAGAGTTATTAATAATTGTACTATAGGTCAGTTTTTATTTTTGTTAAGTTATGAAAATTGGGAAGAGTTTTTTTCTTAAATGAATGTGAATATAGCCTTCAATCAATTTTTTAACATATTTCTTAGGATCATTTATTCATGTTTTACCTTGAAAAAATTTCAATATCCACATGCACAAAAATCATGGCTAACTTCTGGTATTAAAATTTCATGTGCAAATAAAAGAATACTGTATCTAGTTTCCAGAAATAGCAACAATCCTAATGTTAAAGAATATTTTAAGAAATATTGCAGAATCTTGACCAAGGTTATTACAGCAGCCAAAAAATTACATTATAATCCACTTATTGTAAAATCTAACAACAAGACTGAAACTACGTGGAAATTCTCGCACACGTGTCTGTAACTCGTAACTTGCGAACTGAGAACTGTTGATAACACATTCGCTCGACTACTACTTAACTCGGCGACTGCCACATTACAACTCTTCTCGCAGGCAGCGCAGCTCTTATATAGTGGCTGTGTGTGCCTGTTACGTAGCAACGATGTTACCGCACGCTGTCTTACGTCACCGTGCGTTGCGCGTTACGTTACCATGCGGAGGGGGGGAGTGGAGCGCTGACTCATCCGCCACGTCACTGTGGCCTGAGTTGCCACATTGCTGCTGGGTAGGGAGGGGTTCTCCGTTGCGCAACATGTCACAATATATAATAATATGATAATATAACCACGATGAAAATAAATGATAAATTTTCTTGTAACCTGACAGGTATTGTAGATGCATTTAATAATTACTTTTCATCCATAGCCGAAACATTACTTAATAATAATTCCTCTGGGTATCCCTCTGCTAATAATGAAGAATTTTTTATTTTATTTACATAAGAATTTTTATCACCCATTTCCAAAGATGAATTTTAGCAATATGAATGCTTATGAAATTAAAAAAATAATGTCAATGAAACCCAAAAATTCTCATGGCTGTGATGAAATATCATTAAGAATTATGAAATCTAGTGCTCTGTATATCTTGTCTCTTTAACATATGTATATAACAAGATCCTACTAGCAGGTATTTTCCCGGAGAGACTGAAGTTTCGTGAAGTTAAACCGCTCTACAAGAAAGGTGATAAAGCTGAAATCTCTAATTACAGACCTGTCTTACTTCTTCCAACTTTTTCTAAATTCATTGAAAAAATTATTTATAAAAGACTGTACTCCCAATATCTTGGTTAAGGAACAGTTCGGATTTAGAAAAGAATCATCCACTGAAATGGCAACGTATAATCTTCTAAATAATATATTGACTTCCCTAGTCAAAAAAAAATATGTGGGTGGTTTATTTTGTGACCGACAAAATGCTTTCGATTGTGACACCCACAATGTACTCCTGTAAAAAATGAAGTTTTATGTAATCTCGGGTACAGCAATCAAATTAATGACATCATACCTTGAAAACAGATACAAAAGAACAATTATGAACGACATTAAACTTAATAAAGTATTTTCAGAATGGGAGCAGGTCGAACATGGAGTTCCACAGGGCTGTATGTTGGGACCACTATTATTTCTTATTTACATAAATGATTTCCCATTTTCCTTAAAGAAATTAGCTCAACCTATATCATTTGACACAAGTATTATTATATCTAATTCGAGTCTTGAAGAATTTAGAAGTAATATTATTTCAGTTATTAATGAAACAATGACGTGGTTTAATAGGAACTTTTTAACTCTAAATTGTGTTAAAACACATTTCTTACAATTCTTTTTAAAAAAGCATAGAGAAATAGAAATCCAAATTACATCAACTAACTCATTAATGACTAACATCAATTGCATTACATTTTTGGGAATAAATATTGTGACGTCTTCAGTAGCAAAACACGTTACAATATTGATAGCACCCTGTCTTGGAAGAATCATATTACTGAGTTATCATAAAGATTAAATAAGGCCTGTTGCAATAAAGCCCTTTATGTCATTAGATTCAATAAATATGATTTACTACTCTTATGTACATTCAATACTGAAGTACGGCATTATCTTTTGGGGTAATGCCCCCCTTAGTATGAATATCTTTAAAATTAAAAAAGTAATCATAGTAGTTATGTCTGGATTGGGCAAATTTGATTCATGTCGGTATTTGTTAAAAGAATTACAATTATTCCACTCCAGTCTCAATATATTTTTTCCTTGCTTCTTTTTGTTATTAAGAATAGAAATTACTTTACATCTAACATAGATATTCATGATATTAATACCTGCTATAATTATAATTTATACTTACCCTCTATAAATTTATCAATAGTACACAAAGGAGTGCTGTTCTCTGGAAGCAAGATTTATAATCATTAACATTTGAATATTAAATTGTTATGTAAAGACATTAAGCAATTCAAATCTTTATTGAGAAGCTATCTCACTGAACATGCATTTTATAGCATTGATGAATTTTACAAAAAAAGTTCCCGATGAATACCTGTAGATTATTTAGTTAATAGTTGTAATATACTTTTGTTACCGTGTTTGTATTAATTCTATGTAAAATTGTTTCAGATGGCTCTTCTGAGATTTATGACATATATATTAGATATACTGTTATACTTATTGTTTTATATTTATAATGACACTTTCTATATCCTATAGGTCTTTGACCTTGTATGGATTAATGAAATGTAATTAATTCAATTCAATTCACTTCATTTCTTTATTATTTATGTGCCAAGTCAACAGCTGTAAGGCCAATTACAGACTTAGCACAGTGAAGATGAAAGTAATTAAGTGTAACATTATACAAACATTAGACAAACACATTATAAGTCAAAAATAAATTACAGGAAATTTCTTGGGAAAACGCAGTAATGAAGAAAAGTAGACAAACAAGCAAATAAATGATAATAATAACAATAATAATAATTTCATTATCATAAAACTAAGTGNAGGCTACATAAGGAGCAGCGAAGGCTATTCGCAGTCAGTTGTAATGTGGGCAGTCGCCGAGTTGTACTGAAGACAGTTCCGAGCTCTACTGTAGCAGTCGGCGACGTCAGTTGTACTGTGACAGTAGCCGAGTGCGTTATCAACGACTTCTCAGTTCGCAAGTTATGAGCTACAGCCGCGTGTGCGATAACCAGTGATAACCAGTCATATCTGGAGTGTGTAATTCAGGGAGACTTGTATAGCTCCTGCATTATTAGTACGTGAAGACTCTCGAAGNACAGATTAATGCGATTAGGGTTATAAAGTGTGAAACCCCGCAACTGTGTGATAAGTAATTGTAGCCGTTATTTGTAGATTGTTAAATAAACCAATTAACCATCTCTACGGCGTCTTCAGTAACGAAACACGTTACATTGGTGTCAGAAGTGGGATACGAACTTACACACATGACCGACGAGATACGATCTCAAGACACGTTACAATATGTTTCTTTTTCTGGGGGAAAAAAGCCAAAATTAAATCAAGACAACAGTGTCAGTTGTTCTGAAAAGTGTAAGCCCGATTGCGTCACTTCANTTATGGAACGTCTGGAGCAAATGGCGGCCAGACAGAAAGCCGATATGGAGGAATGTAGGAGGAAAGAGAAGGAAGAAATGGAGGAAAGTAGAAGGAAAGAGAAGGAAGAAAGGAAGGCGGAGAAGGAAGAAATGCTGAAAGAGATTAGGGAAAACCAAGTAAAAGCAGAAGCCAACTGAAAACAAGACAGAGAAGATTTCCTAGTGAAATTAGAATTCAATCAAGAAAAAAACAAATAGCATGCTGGCGAAATTAGACGCCGACTTCAATGCCTGGCTTGAAGAGACGACAGCCTGCCAAGTGGACATGAAACCTGCGACGGCACAACAAGAAGAGATCCCCATAGTGATACCGGTCGGAGCGACGATGGCCTGCCTAGTAATGGAGGCACGTCAAGAAGAAGAAGATCTGGCCTCAGCGAACAGGAAACCTGAGGTGGCAGAATTACAAGAGGTACCCGGACAAGACGCCAAAATAATGCTGGTCGGAGAACTGGAGAAGAAAAGGCGCAGGGACCGACATCGACGAAACATGAAGAATCCGATGCGGGGAAGTCGTGGACCCCAGATGAATTTGGCCGTCGTCCACAGGAAGGTGTCCCGCCACGCAACAGTGGCATGGCGCAAACGCCATATCTTCAAGAAATCTACGACCCAAGGAAAATGTGGCCCATGGCACGAATTGGCTGCCGACAGCAATGTGACTAGTCGTGCAGGTGCGACACGGCGCAAGGGAGATCCCGTAAGGAGATGCTCAACGAGGGTCAATGCTGGGCAAGAAGCCGG